TGTGGTTTATTCTGGACATAAGTATTAATAACTATGGCCCAGGAAAGCAGTTAACTCTAAATTCCATGTTCCAATGTAGTAAAAATTTCAAGAAGAGTTACAGTAACAGAACAAAGGAAGTCATAAACCATGGGATTCTTCAAATGCATTGATGGATCCCCCTCAGAAATCTCTGCCAGAGGCCCAGAGGCTGTTTCTATCTGATGATACTCTCAACCTTTTGTTTGGTGTGAGTCAGCGGTCTGTTCATTTAATATACTCCAAAGTTTTCACTGCAGGTTGTATCCAAAGGTAGATAATTAGTGACTAAAGACAATCTGTGTCTGGCCCTGGGGCTGCAGCACTTTGACCTCTTCACAATCATTGCAGTTCTAATCAGTTAATTAGCCTTGTAAAGGAGGCAGCAAGGAAAGTTCTTTATAGGAACATCATTCACAGGCATGTTGAGGAAATGCCTATTGTCATTTGTGTAACCATAGAAAGTATTGTGTTAATTCCCATCTTGGCACCCCCTGAATCATAGCAGACTAGAGAGTGATTTCTAAGACAGTTTGGGTGAAAACGGTCCTCCCCCAGATTTCCTGAACAAATAACACTCTAGCCGCTTCATTTCTGCATTTTTTAATTTTGAAATTTTTGTTTGTTAAAATTGCTGTTTTTGGCACATCTATACGTGTGTGTGTGTGTGTGTGTGTGTGTGTGTGTGTGTGTGTGTGTGTGTGTGTGTCCTTTGGAGTCCTTCAGGAGATGGATACTTACTACAGGAAGGAAGTCACTCTAGGTGGATTTGAGTTCATTTAGCTTTACCCCACTTCCTGTTTTCTCTCTCAGCTTCCTGTATGAACATGAAGTGTGGCCTGGCTGCCTCCCCATTGTCCAATGAGTAAGCCTCATAGTCCTGGTTCGATGCCTTCACCATCATGACAAACTATCTTCTGAAAGTATGAAAGCAAAACAAACCCTTTTCTTCTCTAAGTCAATGTTTTGCAGGGTCAGAGTACTCTCTCAGCAAAAGAAATGGAAGGAAGATAATTGCTAATATGCTTTCTGCTGGGAAAACTTAATATATAAATGTCAAAGATTAATTTTAGAATCAGCCTGTGTGTAGAACTGCCTTTATTTGGTTTCTGGGCTTTTGTCTATATGAGGTGCATATATATTTTGTCTGTATTGACATGTATTTTGTCTGAATTACATGAGATGATTGTTAATTGATAATACATTTTTATTGTAAATAAAGATATGAGTCACTATTTTAATATTTAATTTGGTGTACTAATTATTAGATTATCAAGATAAAACTAGTAACACAAAAAGACAATGTTAGGTTTTAGGGTCTGTGTTCCATTGTATCATTAAAAAGAATACTTGTGCTTGCAATAGAAAATTTTCTTGTAACATCTGTAGAATTATATGTATTATCTGTAGAATTATACATTTATACATATGTATAATAATCTGTGTGATGCTGACAGATGTAACATGACAAATTGTAGAAAGCTTGTTTCCTTTTCAGCTTTTGGATAAGTTTCTACTGTACAATGTCTATATCTATAATTGCCATTCGCTATTTGTCTGGAATACAAAACGAAACTGCTAAGGCTTATAGAAAAATAAATATGTAGTTAGGTTGTCCCTAACAAAAGTGTTGCTTAAAGGGAACTTTCTCTGCCTTATCTAAGCAGTTATACTTAGAATATTGATTTTCTTTTAATTAGATAGGAAAAGGGTTATCTTCAAAAGAGAATTTAGAGGCTAGGAAGTTGGCTCAGTGGTAAAGGTACTTGCTTCCAAGATTGGCAACCTGAATTGGGTCCATGAGACTGATGTGGTAGAAATTATTCATATATAAGGGCGCACCCCCCACACACATCATTCAACGCATTAAAAATAATAAAAAACTCTTTAATAATCTATGTATACTGTCAGATATTGGACAAAGTCAAGGCTTATTTAATTATTAGGCTATGTTAAAGTATTGTAAGTGACCATCTTTTTTTTAAGTGCTTGATGAAATGTATGAAACATGAATTAAACCCCTTACCAGGTGATGGTGGCACATGCCTTTAATTCTAGCACTTGGGAGGCAGAGGCAGGATGGCCACCTGACCTGCCAGTCATAAGTCCCCCTGACCATGGATTACATGGTCAGAAGCTCAAACCCATGAGCAGCTGCAGTGACATCTGCTGCTACCCCATTACCCGGAGAAGATTGGGAACCCTACTGAGACTTGCAATCTCGGGACTCCTCCTCCCCTCTTCTCAAGGCCCTTAGTCTCATGATAACCTTGTGTAGAAACTGGGTGTGCTAAGTAATCTCTGTAACCATGGGAACCTTGGAAACTGAGACTTGAGGTCTCAGGACTCCCCATCCCCTTCGTTTACCCTTTAAAAGCTTCTCTTTTGGGCTGGTGGGCATCTCATTTCCTCTGCCATGAAAAGAGATCCGAGTTGGCCAGCTTAAATAAATAAAACCTTTTGCTTTTGCATCAGAGTATCCACTCCTTGGGTTAGTCTCTGGGATTCTGCAAACCTGGCACAACACAAACAACCTCCAAAACTGGGCAAATAAACTGAACAGATGTGTCAAAAGAAGAAATACAAATGCTTAATAAATATATGAAAATGTTTTCAACATGTTTAGCCCCAGGAAACACAAATGACAGCTCCACCGAGATGCCATCTTACCCAAGTGAGAAGGTCTACCATCTCTAAAACAAAAGAAACCTATGCTGGTGATGAACTGTTACTGTATTTGTTAAAATCAGAGCTTCCAGCTGTGTAGGACTAGACTTGGCCACCTGTCCTCAATAGAACAAACACACAGAAAAAGGAGATTCATTCAGTGTGGCCATGTTGGGAAGAAAAGTAAAGAGGTCTAGTGATCATTGGAACTCATCTTTGTTTGTAACATTGGGATGAGGTTTAAGTGGAAAACAAGATATGCTCCCAACTAAGCAGACCTGGCCAAGGGTGAACATCCCCTATCATTAAGTATAATTCTCTGGGGCCAGTGTCTCCTATGAAGCAGTCTGAGACGTTCTCATGATATAAGTTCCTATTCTCCCAGCATGACTTCTCTGGGGAATGCCAATCCCTCAGGGGCAATTCTCTCAATATTTTAATAGCCAACCTATTGGCAGGTCCACCTTTGTCTTTTTAGATAATGTTCATGTCACCACAGATATAGAAATTTTAATTATTGTTGGTGGTAATGAATGTAAATAATTAATTCACCCTATATGGACATAAGTATACAAGATTCTTAAAAGACTAAAAATAGAACTTCTGTGTAATCTAGCTGTTCCACTACTGGGCATACACCCAAAAGAATAAAAGTCAGCATGCAATAAAGATAACTATATCCACTTTTATTGAAGCACACTATATTAAAGATATTACATTAATATTCCCCTTGGGAAGACGTAGACAAATGACTGTTCACGTCAGACAGGACTGCAATGAAAGAATAAAGTACTGCTCTACCAATGCCTAACTTGTCAAATCAGTGTGATTATTGGGTTTAATCATAGAGCATAGGTGAACTGTAACTTGTATTGAACCATCTACAAGGTTGAACACCTGATAAGATTGTCAACAAATATGGTGAAGTTAGGATATTGCAAGTCCAGAGGCCAATTTATACCATGCTTTCTTCAGCTAAATTAATAGCTTTTCCTTGTTTATTTGTTCCTCTATAAATAACATAGGTTTGTCTAGATGAATAATATCTCCTGCCTGGGAACAGCAGTTGATAAGAAACAGAAAGCATTTTCATGTTTTAGAGTATATTAGAAATAGAACAATTGATTTTGAAGGATCGCCTTTGTTTTTTTTTAATTTTAAATAGCTTGTTTTACATGTCAACCCCAGTTCCCTCTCCCTCCCCTCCTCCCGCACCCCCCCCATCCCCCCATCCTCCCACCCTATTGCCAATTCCTTCCACATAGGGGATATCTAGAGCCTATCATTTCACTCAGGGTAGGGTCCAGGCACTTCCCTAAGAGTCCAGGCAGAGAGAGTAACCCTCTTTGTGTTATGGACACACGATGTCTGTTAGTAGTCGAGGGATAAACACTGATCCACTGCTCAGGACCCCATAGGTAGCCCAGGCCTCCTCATTGACTCTCACATTCAGGGGGTCTGGATCCGTCCCATGCTGGCCTCCCAGCTGTCATTCTGGGGTCCAAGAGCTCTCCTCTGTTCGGATCAGCTGTCTCTGCTGGTTTTGCCAGCCCATTCTTTGCCAATTTGCTCATCGCTCCTCTCTCTCTGTCGCTGGGTTCCTTGGGTTCTGTTCAGTATTTAACTGTGGGTGTTTGCCTCTTCTTCCATCAGTCACTGGATGAAGGCTCCAGGATGGATATAGACATCAAGTTCACTATCAGGAATGGTCATTCGAGGTGGTCTCTACACTATTGCTTAGCTTGCCAATTGGTGTCATCCATTTAGATCACTAGAGGTCACAATGGTGCCTGATCTGTCTTCTAACCTATGATTCCCTCTTCCCCCTATCCTACCTCCCTCAGTCAACCTTCCTGTTCCTCCACGACTTACTCTCTCTGCCGGTTGTGGTGGCACACGCCAGTAGGATTTGCTGAAGGAGGCAGAGGCAGGAGGATCAAGGATCGTCTTTTGTTGTTTTAAAATATTATAGAGTCAAGAGTATGTGGTAGTTGGCATTCACAACCAAAGAGGAAGAAAATGGTAGAAGTATTTGCTTTTATCTAGGTCCAAGTTGAGATCATCTATGACTAGTGTGGTGCTGAGGACCAGCTTTTGAAAGTCTAACCCACAGTCAGCCTATCTGCAAGTGAAGGCACAAAATCTGAAGCTTTGATGAGTGAGTGCCTTCCCTGCTACAGAAAGGTAATATTATTATTGACATTTTCCATTAGAGGGCACTGTTTGTCCTCCTGTCTGAGATCAGGCCAGACTCCAGTGTAGAAAAACAGCATGCAATTTTCTTTCTAAGGTTTAGGTCAAACTGATACAGTTTAGGGGTGTCTTGTTTCCTGTCTGTACGACTAAAGGAACATATTGGAACATTTTCCATAGCTCCTTCTATAATAGACTTGGCAAAAATGAAGATAGTGGGTGTGACCATACCTTGATTGGAGCTGCTTATATTTGCACTTCCTTGCCTCTCTATTTAGACTTTAATCTCACTCAGGTGGGGATCAGGGGGGGTGCTTCTGGAACTCTTTGTTTCTCTTCTCAATATGGTCAAATTCAGTAAATATCCTTTCTATGTTTCCTACATTTAATTTAGCTCTTTTTTTTTGGCTATTTAGGTAGGGAGGTCAGGCCTGGCTTGGAGCACAGGTTCAATTATGCATTGTCTTCTACTCTATAGTGTCCTCTGAAGATTTTCCTTCATCCATCCTCCCCTTGTGAACAATGCAAAGGAGAAGCCTTTTGAACTAATTCTTCTTATTGATGGAGAACTGAATTCCTCCATGTTTCTTAACATCCCTCAATAGTGACAAAGACTAATGATCTGTAACCTTGGTGGACCATCCTATGTTTTGTGTGGTTAACCTTAGTCTATCTCTGCAGGACCTACTATCCACAAAACCCTGTGGAGTGCATATTGACACTCATGTATCAGGAAGGTCAGCCAGTTTCTAATGACAAGATGAAGCTGGGAGGGCCCTGGCTCCTTTATGGATTATGCCTCTGGCAACTACTTTAAATGTCAGGAGGGAACTTTTCATTTCCCCATTCAAGTGTAGAGTAGGAAAGGTATAGAGTAGGAGCATGGATCCTTTTACCAGGCGAGCGATTTCCATGAGCTTTGTAGCATCTCTAGAAACCCAATATTAAGGGGCACATAGAGAATTAAAGCTGCATGTTGGAAGAAATCTGTGAAGGTCTGGGGGTAGTGGCCATAGTGCTATTTCCAAAAGATACTGCACTGTTTTTGATTGTGTGACAAAGGTGTGAGATTCTTTGAGAATGCCATGAATGAACTCAATGGGACTAAGGTAGACTACCAGTGGAAGACCTCTGCATCACCTTGGCCCACCTACCCAGCTTCTCCTCTCAGGAAGCCTTCTTTGTTCCAGAGTTACCAGGCCAGCTTTGCCTCAAGCCTGTGGTATCCTAGACCTCTTCCTTGTACAAGCAACCCATCCATATCCACCAGACCCATTACCTTTTATTCTAAGACCTTCAAGGCCTTGCCTTATTTTAAATGTTCACTACAACATGGTTGGGCTACTTCACTTTGTAGGAAGATGATGGTGAGAAGATTCACTTCTTAAGATGACTTTGTGTGTTAGGGACCAAACCTAAGAGAATAGCAGTACTACAGTGTCCAAACATAAGGGAGAAATGATGGTTACATCTTCCTTTCGCAAAATGTTTGTATAATTGTTGAATGGGAAAGAGACTTATTGTTTATAGTATATCCAGTGAACTTAGAAAACAGGAGACATGTTTTATGGGTAGAAATTTCCATTAGAAGTCACAGTGAATGTCTTCCCAAAGGTTGTGGTTCATTCCAGTTACATAATACTTGGTCCTGGATCCCACTGCTTTCTGGAGGCAGGCTGAGGCTCCAACATTTATATACTTATTATATTTAATGTGCTGTGATTATTTTCTGTTCTGATCTCATATTCCATACCTTGTAAAATAATGGTTTTGTTGTTGTCCCCCTCCACCTGTATGTGTAGGCATCAGTGGATTTGTAGTGCATGTCCTTCCTTTTCTCTTTCCTTCTCCAGCATCACAGTCTGGGGACAGCACAGATGTGGTGACTGACTGGGTTAAGGGTGAGGCCCATTCTGAACTTCAGGCTCAGCTTTTCATTAACTGGGGGTTTGAACGTAAATCTTTGCAGAAGAGCAGTGAAGAAGATGAACAGCTCAGACCTGGCCAATTGTTCTCCCAGGCAAGCTCTCTTTCCTGCAGAACAAAAGGTGAGTCACTTTCTCAGCTGACTTTGATACATTGAGGGACTGGTGTTACCAACCTCATACAATAAATACTGAACTTACCTTGGGCTTTGTGTCAAAATGATTATGCCTAACATCTTCCTGATTTGGCTATTAGAGATATATTCAGTGTGGCATTTCCTGACCATTGGCATAAATATGTGCCCCAAACATGTATTTTCACTTTGCTAGTCCAGTAAATTGTCATTTTCTCAGGTATCCTCATTACTTACTTGCATTGAATAATATGTAGAAGGTAAGACCTGGGCAGGAGGCATTCTCACAACTCTGGGAGCAATTGCTCTAGGTATCCCATACCATACATACATAGAGGCACATGGTGTATACATCTTAATGTGTGTGTAGACAGATGTATTTGTGTCTATATCCAACCTATCTACAATTTACATGTTAGTCTCTCTATTGCACCCTTGGGTTCACATGGGTGATCTCTGGTGATGCAGGACAACCCTAGCACTCCACTCTTCTCTACATCAGTGAACATCTTCCTCAAGTATCCTAACAGCACTGCAGGGCTCCACACAGTCTCTAAGCCATCTTTAAGTCCATGTTTGTGTGAATGTACTTGTACATATGTGAGCTCATTCTATGTATACATGTGGCACATGCATGTAATTGCCAGAGGAAAGACATGGGCATTGGCCCTCAAGGGCCACAATCATCACCTTTTAGATAGGGTCCTATGTGCCTTAGAACTTGCCACATAGGCCTGGCCACTGAGTCCCAAGAGACCTTTTATTTCAAGTACTAGGATTATAAGCACATTCCACCATGCTCCAAGTTTTCTTGTGAGTGCTGGAGATCAAATTATGTTCTTTGCTTCCTAGAAAAGCTCTTTGCCAGGTGAGTTGTCTCCTCTGCCACTAAGTGCTTACTTTATTCCAAAATAATACATTTCAGAACAAAAAAAGTTTTTAAAAAAGTCAATAAAAAGAAATCTATTAAGACTATGACAGCCGGACGTTGGTGGCGCACGCCTTTAATCCCAGCACTTGGGAGGCAGAGGCAGGCGGATCTCTGTGAGTTCGAGGCCAGCCTGGTCTACAGAGCTAGTTCCAGGACAGTCTCCAAAACAATACAGAGAAACCCTGTCTCGAAAAACCAAAAAAAAAAAAAAAGACTATGACAAAGATGCTTAGACCAAAACTCAGACAAAACTATGATTAATATTTGGACATAGAAACAGGCCAGCTTCCTGGCCTGAGTTCCAGAGCCTGCAGATCGCCTGGGAACTGCACAGAGCTCCCAATCCCGGCGGGAGCATCAGGTAAACAGGCCAGCTTCCCGGCCTGTGTTCCAGAGCCTGCAGATCGCCTGGGAACTGCACAGAGCTCCCAATCCCGGCGGGAGCATCAGGTAAACAGGCCAGCTTCCCGGCCTGTGTTCCAGACCCTGCAGATCGCCTGGGAACTGCACAGAGCTCCCAATCCCGGCGGGAGCAAAGCACCCCAGACTCCAGATCTTCTCTCCCACCAACGATTCCAGGAAAGGAGAGGAGGCTGGGAGTACAGGGAAGTAGCTGTCCCTCTGGCATCATCAGGTAAACAGGCCAGCTTCCCGGCCTGAGTTCCAGAGCCTGCAGATCGCCTGGGAACTGCACAGAGCTCCCAATCCCGGCGGGAGCATCAGGTAAACAGGCCAGCTTCCCGGCCTGTGTTCCAGAGCCTGCAGATCGCCTGGGAACTGCACAGAGCTCCCAATCCCGGCGGGAGCAAAGCACCCCAGACTCCAGATCTTCTCTCCCACCAACGATTCCAGGAAAGGAGAGGAGGCTGGGAGTACAGGGAAGTAGCTGTCCCTCTGGCATCATCAGGTAAACAGGCCAGCTTCCTGGCCTGAGTTCCAGAGCCTGCAGATCGCCTGGGAACTGCACAGAGCTCCCAATCCCGGCGGGAGCATCAGGTAAACAGGCCAGCTTCCCGGCCTGTGTTCCAGAGCCTGCAGATCGCCTGGGAACTGCACAGAGCTCCCAATCCCGGCGGGAGCATCAGGTAAACAGGCCAGCTTCCCGGCCTGTGTTCCAGAGCCTGCAGATCGCCTGGGAACTGCACAGAGCTCCCAATCCCGGCGGGAGCATCAGGTAAACAGGCCAGCTTCCCGGCCTGTGTTCCAGACCCTGCAGATCGCCTGGGAACTGCACAGAGCTCCCAATCCCGGCGGGAGCAAAGCACCCCAGACTCCAGATCTTCTCTCCCACCAACGATTCCAGGAAAGGAGAGGAGGCTGGGAGTACAGGGAAGTAGCTGTCCCTCTGGCATCATCAGGTAAACAGGCCAGCTTCCCGGCCTGAGTTCCAGAGCCTGCAGATCGCCTGGGAACTGCACAGAGCTCCCAATCCCGGCGGGAGCATCAGGTAAACAGGCCAGCTTCCCGGCCTGTGTTCCAGAGCCTGCAGATCACCTGGGAACTGCACAGAGCTCCCAATCCCGGCGGGAGCATCAGGTAAACAGGCCAGCTTCCCGGCCTGTGTTCCAGAGCCTGCAGATCGCCTGGGAACTGCACAGAGCTCCCAATCCCGGCGGGAGCATCAGGTAAACAGGCCAGCTTCCTGGCCTGTGTTCCAGACCCTGCAGATCGCCTGGGAACTGCACAGAGCTCCCAATACCGGCGGGAG